GGGACAAAGAGGGATGGCTTCCCACTGCCAGATATCAGGGTTAGATGGAATATTGGGAAGAAATTCTTCCCTTTGATGTGGGGAGGCCCTGGCAGAGGTTGCCCAGAGAAGCTGAGAAACCCCATCCCTAGAAACATGCAGGGGCAGGTAGGACAGGGCTTGGAGAAACCTGGTCTAGTGGGAGGTGTCCCTGCTCATGGTAGGAGGTTGGAACAAGATTGGTTTTCAGGTCCCTTCCAACGCAAACCATTTTGTGATAATTAAGTGTTCCTAAAACATAAGTGTCCTAATTTAGCTTATAAAGCTGCAAATATTACTGGTCCTTAAAGTCCTGAATCACTTGGAAAGTTAAGGCTATGTAACATGATTCCAAACTAGATTTGGAATTTAGATTTGCCAAATGAGATGTAATACGATATTTAAATTGTGCCAGACTTTAGTCTGTGCAAGACAGTTGGATGTGATGTGTAAAAACCATTATTTTACTGACTTCTTCCCTTAAGAGCTTTCTGAAGTACAGATTAAACTTTGAGACTTTAATGTAATTTGGGCTATGGCAGAGGTCTGAACCGAAGAGAGAGTAAAAGATCTAAAACATATGGTGTATTACCAAAGTAGAAGCAGGTGAAAGCAGTTAAAAATGAAGCAATTTCATAAGTATTAAAAATAGTTTGTGTTAAAGGCAGGTGGTTATAGACAATAAAAGTGGGCCATCAGTATATTGGTACATATGTGATATTTCTGGAGGCAGAATTCATAAATCACAGAACACAACAGTAAATTTATTTGGACTTGAATTCTTAAGAGATGCTTGAGGTCTGAAATAAATGTATGGAATAAGGATTCTTTCAACTTTTCCTAACATTTGCCATCTGCCTGAGCCAGGAATCCTGCAGTGATTTCCTTGAGTGTTCATCAAGCACCAAAGTGACTATTTGAAACAGCTAAAGATGAGCTAAAGATATGAAATTAAATGAGAGCCTGATGGCTGATGAGTACTTGTTGAGGGTCAGCTGGAAAAAGTAGGACAATGAAGAGTTTTTAGTGATTAGAGTAGAATACTTAGCACAATTTATTTGAGTTGTAAGAATGGTCTAATGCTTACAACACCACAAGTAGTCTAATCATCGTTGTAGTTTTGAAACAGGCCTCTGGTTTTCCAGAATAATATCTGTGAGCAGCTTTAAAAGATCTCTTTTTCTGTAGTCAGTTATCTGGATTTTAAATACGTCAGTACTAGTTAGCAGTTTTGGTTCAAGACACTATATTAGGAAATTGTTGCTTATGTTCTTACCAAAGCCAGGGGTTTTAAAAGTCAGTAAGGGAAGGGTTGCAATCCTTTCTTTTGTTAAGAAGTCATTGGTGCTCCTCATAAGGAAAAAACCCCACCAGAATAGATTATGGATATGAACTGCAGGCATCACACCTCAAATCGTAAATATGAAAATGAAAAATCCTTGCTTTTTCTCTGTCTGCACCTGAAATTTCTTGGTTTTACTTTCAGCAGCACATGAGCACAGTCTTCATTACATCTTGAATCATGGAAAAGATTTAAATTAACAATGGAAGGTGACTTAAACAACCTTCTGTTCAGCTGTTTGCATGAGTCAACTGGAGTGGAAATGCTCACAACCAGCCACCATTGGTTTTTCATATTGACTGGAAACACCATCTGGTTCAAATCAGTCTAGTGTGCAGCTTGGATCACTCTTATCCAGAGTTCTCCACCTTCTGAATTCAGAGTGGGGCTTGTTTAATTTCAGCATCTTTGGCACAATTCTCTTAGATCCTAAACCCACCTTTACGCATGCCTGCTGGCTGATTATTCCCTTAATCACTCCTGTTTCTTATTGCTTCTCCCCAGTACAGGCTCCTACCTTGCTGACATGTCTTGAAAGCAGTGGGAATACCAGGTACAGAAACAGCTCCAAATGGAGTAAACCTGTTACAAGTTACTAAACATGGTGGATTTTTTCTTGCATCAGGTTAATTTTCTCTAAATCAGGATCTTCTTTACAAATCACTATTAAAACTACCATGGCTGCATTGCCTGTCTCTTTATATACAGAAATAGATCATCTCGTGTAAACTCAGGGTGTGTTAGCACTGTATTTTAACAAGTCTGCATGCTATTGAAATGTCATATTCTGTAGCTGTATGTAAATGACAGCATATTTTTACAAAGGCACATGCTGACCCTCGCTGAGCAGAAGCTATCTCGTGTAAACTCAGGGTGTGTTAGCACTGTATTTTAAGAAGTCTGCATGCTATTGAAATGTCATATTCTGTAGCTGTATGTAAATGACAGCATATTTTTACATGCTGACCCTCACTGGGCAGAAGCAGTTTTGTTCATATTCCTGACTGTTCACATGGCAGGTGCATGGTTGCATGGTTTCCTAGAGTGTGTAAGTACTACTCCGAGGAGGACCAGAGCTCAACTCCTGAGCTCTGTTCTGAACTGAGAACAAATTTCCAACACTTGATAACTTCTCTCAGGTAATATTTTCTATTGATTATAGAAAGTATACCTGTAGCTTGTGGTTTTTGGTTTTTTCTACTAAACATATCACACTTGTTCAAATTTTTTTATCTCAGAATAAGTATCTGTGTTTTGCTTTAAAGGAACTTAGTGATTTTTTCCCCAAATATATCAGCAAGAATGGAAAGAAGGAAGGTGCACTTCGGAGTAGAATAGATGGGCGGATGCCATTTTGAATTTTATTATGCATTTTGTGATTATAAAAACACTGAAATAGTGTTTTTGAAAAGTATTTTGTATAACTAAATCCTTACACAGCAGACTCAGCTTTGCAGCATGACAAAAGGAGAGATTAAGCTTACAGTCAATGCTTTTCTGTGGAGTGGGCAAGAAGAATTTCACACAGGGAGGCAGCAGTTCAAGTTGGGTTCAGTTACACTCACTGAAGCACTATATACAATATTTGGGTTCCTCTCCCTTTAGTGTAATGCTTGTGATCAGGCTTAATGGGCAAGCAAGATAAAACAAAAAGAGAGAGGTGTAAAACCTAGTAATATTTTTCTCTTGAGTCATAAATATGTATATGCAGAGACATCCACTGGCAGTGTCAAGACTTCAATTTAAGAGATTATGTTGTGAAAGCTGACCTGAGGATGTACGTGGTTTAAAGCCTTTCAAGATTAATTAGTGGAGGTGAGAGGATAGAAATCTGAATATTGGCAAAGAAGCAGGATCAATGTGATAAGCAGAAAAGCCCGATTTTCCCCTTTAAAAGAATCTCTGTGTGGGAGATGTCAGTGAGCACTATATACCATTTTCACCCCCTTTCTGTACTGCATGGATCAGAGAGCTCTATGTCTAATAATAGAATGCATGGTTCCTGTTACCAGTGACTTCATGAAATGCTGCCTTCTAGGGAAACATGATTTGTATTCCTAATGGTGCTTTTATTGTAAAAAAATTGGTTAGTTTTAGACTGTTAATTGTAAAGTTATTCCTTAAATCTAACCCTTGCTCTGTTTGGGTAGTGTAATTTGAGATACTGAAATGAATTCCTCTTGCTTTGTATTTTGCACTTAGAATAATGTGTTGCAGAATTTTTGTAGCATTTAGGAAAGTTTCATTTCCTTGCATGGGGAACTAGTTGGATTTATAGATCTATTAAGTAAGGTTAGCTCTGTGAATATATAGTATTCACAGAGATTTTAATGTTCCTTGGCTTAAAGAGACCTAGCAAGTTTGAAAGTAGCAGAAAACCTGAAGCTGACATCTCAATATTTGATCTGCTGTAATCATGACTTGTTAACCTTTAGCTTTAATGATACTATGTAATTCTTAAAATTACAAATGTACTCTCCTATGGGGCTGATGGATGATAAAATTCACTTTGCCTAATCACCTCTCCAGAATATGTGTTGTTTCTAGTAGATATTGATCTCCTGTATTTGTTATCTTATATTTGAGAGAGACCTTAGTTTCTGCTGTGGGTAATTCCTTCAGCATCTTGATGAGGAGCTGCAGGACATGGTTCATGAAAAGGCAGAAACTTGATTCATGCTGTAGTTCCCATAAAAAATAAATTTTAGTTTGTTCTAAGGTTGCTGAATTGACCATGATGACCTCAGAATCTCTGGTGCTGAGGAGGAGGCAAAAGACAGTCCTTAGAAGTACAGTGTGCAGCTGTTAAAGCTGTTTGAGAACTACTTCACTTAAGCAGAGATTCTTTAAGCAGATGTATAAAACTATATTCTTTAAAGCAGAAACTGTCAAAGAGTTTCAGTATTTAAGGGACTAATGTTTTAGTTCTCTTGTCTCATGCAGCAGTGCCATGCTATGTTCTTACAAGCTATTTGATACATTTGGGCATTTTAAATGGTGAGCAATATTTATTATGTAGAAAAAATAAAGATTGGTAATAATATGTTTGCAAGGGCTATAGTGACCTATGATGCTGTGACTCAAGCCTTTGGTGCATGTGTGAAGTTTGTTGAAAGGAATCACTTCTATTCTGAATGTTGTTTTGGTAAGTGAGCCTGCAGATTTCTTCTCTGTGTAAAGGGCTTTGTGCTCTGTCAATCACAGGATAATGATCAAAAGAGAACAACTTTTTGAAAATATTCTTTCTGTTTGGAAATGAGCTAACCAAGTGTGACTGACTGAATGCAGAGGGATAACGTGGGATCTGAAATTGTGCTGTGTGCTTCTGAAATTACACTTTGATTAGTGAGAGGGATGTTGCAGCCCTGGGAGATTCATAAAGTGTCTTTTAAAAACCTGTAATACTTTAAAAAATGGAATTCCATAGCTGGGTTTTGGCATCAGTTGTTAAATGCTGATTGACTGGAGTTGCAGAGGTTTCCTAAATACATCCTATGGAGGGGTTCCTGGGAGACATCAGCAAAGGAAGCTTTTTAAATTTTTACCTTCTCAGAAAAGGAATCTGGGGCTTTTTGAAGTTTACATAAGCATCTGAATAATTTCATCTTAAATACTTCCCCCCACCTTTTTTTCCCACCAGATTTCCTTTATATGCAAAAGGAGGGGAGAAGCTTCAGTTTGAATATGGAGTTTACCTTCTCAACAAAAATATAGCACAGGTTAGTACACCTGAGATTATTTTTTATTATTATTTATATGTATTCTCTGCTTGGTGTCAGTATGATGTAAATGTGCATGTGCTGTCCTGTGATGCTGCTCTCTGTAATGAAAGTCTGTGAACTAAGAAAAATATCCTTGAAAACATAATTTTCACTTATCTTCAGCACTGTGCTTGAGATTTTGTTCTGTGGTGCTTAAAGAAGCACTTACCAGATAATAATGAATCTTTTTCTTTTCAAATAGTACATTCTGTGAATCTATAGATGCCACACTGTTTTGAAAACTGTAAATATTCTCAGATTTTTTTTATTCTGTCACACTTGAAGATCTGTTTGTGTAATTCTTGCTCATGTGTCTTTAATTTTGCTGTATTATTACTTCAGCTAGTACTCTACCCTTACAAGAAAACACAATACATGTAAAATATGAAATATCGCAAATGTGTGACTTTTATTTAAAAAGTTCTGTAATCAACCTTCCTTCTTTTTAATTTATTTTTAAAAAACATCCTTTACTCTGAAAATTGCAAGAGACTTTGCAAAGTTGTATTTGAGATGACAGTAATACCTGCAGCTAACACATTTGGTATTGGAATTCAGAGAATGTTCAGAAAGCTGGTCTGAAAGAGGCCGGGCTGTTTCTATTGGTATGTAGTGCTAGGACAGGGTCAGCTGCTTTTATGCTGTCCCTGGTGATGTTCTGTAAAGAAAAACCTGTGATGTAAGTACTGCTTAGTTCCAGTGCTTGATTGTCTTGGCCACTGAAGACAGCTAATTTCTGACATTGAGTTGAAAGCTGTCTTGCCTTTGTTTATATATTACAATAATCTAATCAATTTAAGTCTCTTCCTCTTTGCAAACTTTCATGCATTGAAAAACCATTTTTCAACACTTCTCTTGCCTCAGATTCTCCATCTGAATTCATATTTTTCTTGAAATGAAATGCTGAAAGTTGGATACAGTGAGCAACTGTTGCTTTCAAAACATGGAGTAGGATGGGAGATATGCTTCCCAAATCTTGTCCTTTTATTTCCAGTTCATTGGTTCCAATGGGTTTGTACTCTTAAAAGCCTAGCAGAGTAAATCTTACGATTCTGTGCAACTAACAGCCCCAGGTATCTTCTGCACAGCAGCACAACAGTCTATTCTGAATTTGTGCAGGTTGTTATGTTTGTTGCAGTTCTGGAGACAGGCACACGACTGAACGCACTGAGTTCAAGTGACAACAGCCAATGTTTATTGATGGACTCCTCCTTTTATAGGGGATTCAGATTTCCCATGCTTGAACACCTGAGTGGTCGAGGTCTCAACACCACCCAGCTCACTGGCCAGCTAACTGTCTGCATTCAGGATTGAATGGGGTTGGCTGGGCTGCCCTGTTTGAGATCAAATCCAACGTTGTCTTCCCAGGGACTTGTTTGCTTCTACTCTTTAACGAACTAGGCTGGTCAAGTTGGGGTTCTGTAATGGCCAAATTTATCTGTGCACCTTCAGACCAGCTGCAGCTGTCACAGCAGGTGATTTGTTTAATTCACATTTTATATGCTGTATCTTGAATGTATTGTTAAATATGAACTTTCTTGTTCTTAATCATGTTTCTGCTTTGGTGGCAAAAAAAAAAAAGAGCTGAGAACTCAGTCTCAGCTTTATGCTGGCTGCATCTGAGCCTATGCCATATCCAGATTACCTAATTAAAATATTGGATAGAACTGGGGTTCTGTTATTCCAGGTGGAGTCCCATTTTGACAGCACTTCAGTTGTAGTCATGAACCATTCTTTATTACACCCAAAGAGTATTTTCTCTGTATTCACTTGTACTTCATCAATATCCCATTTCCCCAGCATGCTTGTGAGCATATTATAGCAGAAAATGCCAAGAGATTTAAATTCCAAGAGAAATATGACATTTCTGTTTCTAACCTGTTTGAAATCACATTAGTCTCACAGTTTTATTCTTGAAAAATCTGACCTTTTAATGCATAGTTTCTACTAATCTTGTTTGTTTTTCCAGTTTTCTCTTCCATCACTTTTTTTGCCATTCCTTATCCCAGACTGAAGTAAAGTTTCGGAGTCTTTCTGTGTTGTTTGTTTTTTAATCTTGGATTGCATTTACCACTTTCCAGACTTGCCCATGCTTAGTGTATTTTGGACAATAACCTCTGAAATTACTTAAAGTCTAAAATATCCTAAGACAAAGTAAATCGAGCCCTACTAATCTTGGAAATGGGTTTAGCCAGGCTGTTAATGTATCTTAGACTCTACCTCCTTGTTGGTGGTATCACTAATGGCAGCCAGCTGTTCACACTTGACCTCCAGAGGGGAGATTAGTGAGAAAAAGGGATTAGTCTTTCCCTCAAATGCTTTGATAGACCTCTCTCTTCATTACTATCAAAACAATGCTTTCCTTAATCTCTGCTTACTAGTTAATTTTGTAACTTGTGAGTCATGATGCTGCTTGCCTTTCAGCCCTTCGTTGTCTTTACCTTATTCTGGAGTTTGCCATTCAGTTATGTGATGCAAGCTGGAAACTCTCATTTTTTTCATCAAAATGATGAATTCTTCATTGAGCCCAGGGTGGTTTTCTTTCCTGTTTGTGTAATTTGGGTTACTTGACACTTGTGCCTGTGGTATTTTTTAATAGAAGCTGTCACCACTTCACTTGTTTTCCTGTTTATCTCTTTTACTTGTCACCTCTGAGTTGTTACCACTCAAACCTACTGAAACCTCTCATTTTCTGATTTTTCTTGTTCTGTTTCCAAAGGACTCTGGGTGGTTGAACACATCGTCACTCACCCATGTTACCTTCCAATTCCTTGCAGTTGGTTTCTGAAATCACTGGCATATGTTTAAACTTACAAAAGTAAATGAAGGCTTTAAGTATGTTTTGGTACAAAAAGAATTTCCAGCTCTACTTGGAGTCATTGGTGCTGGTGCAGGCTAGTCAATGGCCAGACTTTGAAGTGGTTAGTAGGACACTAGTGGTTCACATGTTAATCTTGAGATTGTATGCTGTTGGATATAAAAACATAATAAAAGTAAATTGGAATTTCTGGGGGTGCCTCTACTACTTGTTTAATCATGAAAGTGTTACAATGTCCACATAAACTGTGGTAGTCACCTCTGTTTTGATGTCCTTGGTCAAATATTGCTGCTTTATATAGTTCTGCCAAGGGGAAATTCCACTGTGAAAGCAGAGCAGGTAAATAAAGTGCAGAAATGCATCACAAAACCTCTGTGCTCTGGGACTGACTTGACCTAGAAACCCAGGATTGTCTGAGTTCTGGTATGTTTCCTGGGATGCTGAAACTGTTGAATTTACATGGCTTTTAGCAGACCTTATGGCTGCTTTCAGAGAAGTGCCCAGATATGCTTAGTTCTTGTGAACGTGTGAAAAATTAAATTTGGACAGAGAATTAGCAGCTGCCTCTCTCTTATCTCCAGACCATCACCCAAAGGTGTTTACCTTAATTCAGAGAACCAGTCCTCTTTGGCAGGAATAAATGTAAATCAGTTGCTTAATTCCCTTTGTGCTGTGGGAAGGTTGGAGGTGCCCGGGAAGAATAGTAGTGACTTCACTGGAGCATGAAAACAGGAGCCTGGGTCTTTATCACCTCACTTGAATCATTCATGCAAGTTTTGAACACTGTGACAAATAAAGAGCCCAGAAAAGTTCAATCAACTTGAAGAAATACTTTGAAATTATTTGTATAAGCTTTCCTGATTTCACAAATTTTTTTTCCTTTTACAATTACCTAGAATTCTGGCAGCAAGGATAAATGTGAGTGTGGAAGAAGTGAGATTGGATTGATATTAAATAAAATTACTGACATAAAAACTCTTCTAGAGATAAAGGGGTACTGTTTTGTAAAACAGCAGGATAATAACACTGGAAACCACATCTTGCACTCAGGAGAATTCAGCTGGAATTAGAAGCAGCCTAGTGCTGGCTTGGTAGAGTTTTTTTTGGAGAAACTTGCTTTGCTGTTACATTCCAAAGTTGAAACAATGTGTGTTAATTCTGAGAGTTCATAATAACTTCCATCTGTATGTGAGCACGAATTGTTTCAATACCCGTATTTTCTGTTTGTAAAATTGCATCCCTCACAAAGTTCACAAAGGGGCTTTTTGAGTTGGATAACATTATCTAAAGCTGTAAATTTCCATTTAAGATTTCAGCTGTTTGACTCTCACTAGCATAGAAACGCAGGGTTTTTTTCAAAGATAAATTAGTCACTTATGTCTAATAACACCTACAAAAATTCACTATAATTATCAAAGGCGAAGTACAATAGAGTGGCTAAAGTGGGGGTGAATTGCACAGCTCTCCAAAGCATTAGACATTGGGAGAGCATTCAGCAAGTGCTAGCCCCATAAACTCGGTAGCTCCTAAGTTAGAGATGTGTATGGAGTATCTGAGGAAGCTGAAGCTTTAGTAGGAGAAAGAAGTGAACTCTTGTCCTGCTATTCACAGCAGAGTAATTGAGATTACACCATTAAAACCTCTTGTTATGGTGGATGAATATTAGGAAATCCCTGAAGCTGGTGAGGTTTTTTGTGGGTGATAAGTGAACACAGAACAGGGTCAAAATGGCATCTCTCAGAGTTCTTTTTGTTCTGAACATACAATGTGGGTGTCACCCAGTTCTGCTGGGGCAGAGACATGGACCTTGTGGAACTGAGCTCTCACAAGTGCTTGAGCAGTGGTCTTGCTGCTATAGGCTTTTTTCATCTCAATAATTTAATTAATTTTTAAACTTTGAAGTAGGGGTTATTGAGAGAGCAGTGGCTTTGAGTTTTGAGTCACAGGCCTGTAAAAAGAAAGCATCTTTATTGCTGCTTTTACTGGGTGCTTTGCTGTCTCTTTCCTTCATTCCCAGAGCCTTAATGGCTTTGGCCTGACTTCAGTGTAGGTTCTTCATTACATATGATGAGTTGATCTTAATTTAGTGACCATCCTCCCTGAGGTGAGTGAGTCCCTAGTGAGCACACACTGTGTTACT